TTTTTTTTTTTTTTTTTTTTTTTTTTTTTTTTTTTTTTTTTTTTTTTTTTTTTTTGTTGCAACCAGACTCACATTAAGGAGCTTGAGGAAGAAGTGAAACTTCTCAAGGATCTTTCTCATCCAAATATTGTTGTGAGTATGGCCTTCTGCTTCTCATTTACGTAAATAAGTCCATTAGTTTGCCCACTGAATACATTGTGTTGTTTGTTAGAGATACTTGGGGACAGTCAGAGAGGATGATTCTTTAAATATATTATTGGAGTTTGTCCCTGGTGGATCAATATCGTCACTTTTGGGGAAATTTGGAGCCTTTCCTGAAGCAGTAAGTCATTCTATTTACTACGTTCAACATGCTCGTGTCAGATGCACCGAGTGTCTAATCCTTAATACCAACTGTCTGTAGGTTTTAAGAACATATACAAAACAGTTATTATTGGGATTGGAATATTTACACAAGAACGGTATCATGCACAGGGACATTAAGGTCGGTTTTTATGATTTTTATCATTGCATGCAGTTTACTTATTCCCCGTGTCAGTTATAAATAGGTTGTGTTTCTTGTATTCTATTGCAGGGGGCGAATATCCTTGTAGATAACAATGGATGCATTAAGCTTGCTGATTTTGGGGCATCAAAACAAGTTGTCGAGCTGGTAAAGCCAGTGATCCTTGACTTTTATTTAGTTTGAAAGCTATCTGGCTTCTGATCAAAATTCCTTTGTTGTAGGCTACAATTTCAGGAGCAAAGTCTATGAAGGGCACTCCATATTGGATGGCTCCTGAAGTAATTCTGCAGACCGGGCATAATTTGTAAGAACTAACTGATGTCAAGCTCTACTTAGAATCTACGATCTGTTCTGAATATTTGGATACCAATTATTAACTGTAAAATGTTGATTTCAAATCCTGTTGACAAGCTTAAATTTGAGGCAAATAAGTGGACTTAAGTAGCTTTGCCTATAGCAAAATATTAATTTGGTGAGATGGATGATCATAAGTATGTGATAATTATTCCTAGCTCTGCTGACATATGGAGTGTTGGATGCACTGTTATTGAGATGGCTACAGGAAAGCCTCCTTGGAGCCAACAGTATCAAGAGGTATCTTATAACTTGAAGATGTTTTAGTGGTGGGTGCATTAAATTGTTTTGTAAAGTGAACTGACAATTCTTTTCTTTTAGGTTGCTGCTCTTTTTCATATAGGTACAACGAAGTCTCATCCACCAATCCCCGAGCAGCTTTCGGTTGAAGCTAAAGATTTTCTGTTGAAATGTTTGCAAAAGTAAGTCTCATTTCTTTGCATTTCTAACCCCGATCTTCAAGAAGCTAATCCTAGCTTTACAATGTTCAAACTTTGAGATTCGTTGGAAACGTTCTTCTTTTGCTTCTCTTTGCCACTATTTCTCATGGAAAGTCAAATCAATGTGGGTCAAATTGCAGGGAACCAAACTTAAGACCAGCTGCCTCTGAACTCTTGAAGGTGATTTTTAACTTGATTGATATTTTTGTTGTACTTAATAAAAACAAATAATAAGCTGCAGAGGCTCTAGCGGCGTGCTTCCTCTTTTATTCTAGCAATAACGTATTATACACTGAGAAATAGTGCCAGTGGCGTGATTGTTTTAACTATCATCTAACCTTCCTGTTTTGTTGCTTGAAGCATCCGTTTGTTACCGGGGAGGAGGCAGAATCTCAACTCGTGTCACGTGATGCATGCACGGTTAGAGGATTAAAGAACCAGAATAATTTATTCATGATTGTTTGTTTTCCTATTTATAACTGTAAATTTGCCATCATCAGGAGCCCTTGGAAATCCATTCACCTTTGTATACTTCAAAGTTTGAAATGAGGTGAATCCAAAAATTTGACTAGAAAAGATTGTGCATTTACCTGCTTACAATTATTAAGGTTTTTGACGTTCTTTTCTTGACAGTAAAACTCCAACACATCCTGGATCAAGTGATATTTGTAATTTGGATAGCCTGAGCTGCTCAAAGGTATACACTGCAAACAAACTAGAAAGCGATATATGGACAGCAAACAGTGATGATGAAATGTGTCAGATTGATGACAAGGATGATTTAATGTTAGATGAAGTAAAAATCGGTTCTTCTATTGTACATGAGAATTTGAAGGTGAGGAAACTTTTATTTTTTCTTCTTTTTCAATGCCTGGATGGCACTTTAGTTCGTTCACAAAGCTCTTGAATTAACTTGGCTAATTTTTTTCTTTTGGTGAAGAGTTATAACCCAATTTGTGAGCCCTCCGATGATGAGGATTGCAAATTTGATAGAAGTCCAGCAGTAGACCAAGGAAGCAATTTAGAAGAGGAAGCTCTTGCAGCTAGAAGCTGTTCAGGAGTTTTTGACGAGGACCAGAACTTCTCATTTCCTAGGGGACGATCACTCTCTGAAGACGAGGATGAGCTTACTGAATCAAAAATTAAAGCTTTCTTGTATGAAAAGGTTTGGATTTTCAGTTTGAGATTGCAATTACTTTGTCTTTCTAATTCTCCCCTTCACTGCCGTTTTATTAAAGAAACTTGTTTGCTTAATTTGTTATGTTTGATTTCAATGCCTTAGGCTCTTGAATTGAAGAAACTTCAGTCACCGCTTTATGAGGAATTCTACAATAGTTTGAATGCATCCTGCTCTCCAGTTTTTATTGAGAGTAAACGAGATGAAAGTACTCCCACATACTTGAAATTGCCTCCGAAAAGCCGGTCACCAAGTCGAAGTCCTGGTAATCCATCCCCAGCAATTGATGCTTTTGGCACTGGTAGCCCAGCTAGTGGTAGCAGGGGTAATGCAAATGATCAGAGATCACAACTCAGCGATTGGAAAGGACTTCTAGTTGATGGTCAGTCAGAAGCTGGTAGCCCGAGGTTCGACTTTTGGATGTTCTTTTTAGCAGGCTTAGTATCATTGACGTCTGTTGTATTCTTGATGTTTGGACAAGTGACGTTGTGTGTTATCATCTAGCAGCAAGCATTATTCTGATATACAAAGGAAGTGGAAAGAAGAGCTTGATCAAGAGCTTGAGAAAAAACGAGGTAGATAATGTTATTATTCAATGCCATTTACACGAGTCCACCGTGGGCTGTTAGAACTCCATAGTGACTATTCTATTTTGCAATTTTCTTGATTGTTAACAGAGATGATGCGTCAAGCTGGTGGCGGAGGCAAAACTTCATCACCAAAGGATAAAGCCATGGGCCGACACAGAGAGCGGACAAGATTTGCATCTCCATTACGGTAGATGTTTAAATCTCTTTTTTCCTTCACACAGTGTGTGTGATTATTATGGCAATATGCATAATTGTGAAGAACCGTTGACAGAGATGATGCATCGGGCGCTGGAAGGGAGAACAGGGAAAACATCATCTCCTGAAGGAAGTTATGAAAGAATAGCATCTTCAAACTACATCAGCTGAGTTTATTTGCTCATTTTTCCTTTCCTCTGCAGTCCTTGTGGAGTGTATGAAATGCAGAGGTCCCTTGCTGACTCATGATCAGATTCTCAAAAGGGGGGAAGGAAAAAGACACGTTGAGCTATATGCTAATCTGTTTTTGTTCTTTTTTCATTGATTTTGTTGGGGGTGGGGAAGCTTTTAAGGATACATATTTTTCAATTTTGTATCCAGTGGTGAATAGAAAATGTATCATTAGTGTACAATATTCTGGTTTGATGATATAAAATGGCACAGGTTTGTTTCTTTCCATGTCTGTATCATTTCTTCATCACAAACAACACAACCACTCGGGCATTGAGAAAATATCAAACAAAATGTTGTTTGATAGTACTTTTACTTCATATTTTGTAAATGGGTCTCATCTGTTCTTGAAGTTAACCGAAACTTTCTTTATTGATTTTCACAGGCTGATACAATGTGATGGAATGAAGGAAGAACACAAGAAACACACTATGGACATTGAGAAAATATCAAACAAAGAATAATTTAGAGCAACTTCTTTCAAATTCTCATCTGTATTATATTGGTTGGTCTCTGTTTCAGTCCACTCAGATTAGTGTTCCCATCATATTTCTGTACACTTTTTCTGCTTTTCAGGGGAGACACCAACCTAGCAGCCAGTCTTGAAGGTGAGAAAGATTGCCTCAGCTTGGAACCTGTAAGTCTTGCAGGTGAGAATGGTTGCCTCAGCTTCGAAGTTAACAGCCTTGACGGTGAAAATGACCGACGCAGCTTGGAGGCAGTGGATCCCTTTGGAGGAGACTGCTTACTCGAGAGTACTGGTTTTGTTGGCGACCGTGTGATCACCACCGGCGGGCTCCTAATCTTCACCTGAAACTTTGAAGCTGACGCTGGAGACTTGATCAAGAACTTATGTGGAGTTGTTTGCTGTCTAGTTTTTGTGATGACTGGAGACTTTGTTCTGCAGAACTTCGGTTGTTGGGAGTTATCTGATGATGATAGGAATATAGGATTTGGAAAAAGTATGGTCTTTTTCGTCCATGGCCTGCTGTTCCTAGGTGACACTCGGTTTGCTAAATACTGCGCATTCTCTTTATCAACGACATCTCTTTTGGTCGGAGGTGAAACGACCTTGAAATTGATCCGGGACCGAACGCGTTGAAGCGACGGAGAATGCGATTCAGTTCGTTTGGATTGTAACTTTTCTTGCTTCTCTCTTTTCCTTCTTACTCTTAGTTCTGAATCTTCCAGGTTTGGTCTTCGGTTTCTTTGTCGTGTCAACGGAGTTTTTGGGTCATCCATCGACGTGCTTTTGGTGTCGATGGTAACAGCTTCAACCATCTCTCTTGCAAATTTGCTAGCAGTCAGTATTTCTCCAATGGTTTCACCTACAAGCATTGCTGGTAAAGACATCCTCTTCCACTCCCCTGCTCAAAATGAAAATAATGAATAATCTCGAAACTTATTAAACGTTTTTAAAGTTCAAGAACCTATTTAACACAGAATTGGTAGTTAACGAGCACATTAAACCGTTCTTGAAATTGAGCGACTGACTAACTCAACCTTAAAAAGGCGACCAAGAAACAAACAGCAAGAACAGGAAAGATTCAAGGCATTAAAAGTTTAGAAAGAGACCTCCTCCTGCATTAGCTGGAAACTTCCCCACAGGAGATTTTCTGCCTCCACCACCATTTTTGATCCTTCAAAAATGGAAACAGAGAAGAACCCATTTGAGTATTAAACAAAAAAAAGCTCAACTTGACACAAAACCGATCGAATTGATAGCAAGAAATTAAACCTCAAAGATTCCTGTTTACATCTGAGGCTTGTCTTAAGATAGCCTCTGGTACTACGTGGGCTAAGGCTCACCCCTGATATCACTTTGTTCCCTCCTGTTACTGTGAATTGCAGTTCTTGTAGCCTTCTCATGCACATTTCCACCTACACAACCCAAATTACTCCCAAAATGTAAGAACAAGAACAAGAACAAGAAAGAGCTACTTGTTCAATCCTGAAGTTTTAATGGCAGCGGAGTATTAAAATATATTGGATTGCAAGTTCTCATTGAGCTGAGGTTGAAGAACAAATGTATTTTCGTTTACATCACTTGATGAAGATCCATTTGAGGATTGTTGGGAGGGAGTCCGTCCAACGTTGGCTAATTTAGGGAATGATCGTAGGTCTACAAGTAAAGAATACATCTCCATTGATACGATACATTTTTGGGAAACTAAAAGCAAACCCACGAGAGCTTATGCTCAAAGTGTACAATATCATACCACCGCGGAGAGTCGGATTGGAGGGTTTGTTTCCCCGAAAGTGAGGAAGAATTTACATTTTCAACCTTCTAGCTGAGAATATGTAATGAAAATGAAGAACCCAGATTGGATCTACAGCTTTCCTCGCAGTATTTTCAGAGAAATGAAACAAAGATAATGAAATGAAAGAAAGAACCTTTCTGAAACTGTTCCACCAAAAAAAGAACAAAAAAATGGAGAAAGCTAAAAGATCCAATGAAGAACAATGTAAAATTATCAACATTTGAGCTGAAAAACTACGCTAAAAATGAAGAAATACCCAAATGAGATCTGCAAACTTTCTCCAAAAACTTAGAACACAATAAAAAACAGAGTCCTTATGCAATTCAATCAAAACAGAGTCCATGAACTTTGTGTTCTTACCTTCTTGAGCGTTTCTCTCACTTGAACTGGGTTGAGAGTGGCTGCTGCTGCTGCTGCTGCTACCATTTTCTTTTGCTTTGGTGGGGTTTTGGCTACCATTTTGATTGAATTGAAGAATCACCAACGTGGGTCTTCAACAAATCTCTCTCTTTCTCTCTCTAAATAGCCATGAGAGATTATGAGGGGTCGAAACTGATTGAATTGAAATTCTTGTTGCCGAACCCCTTTTTGTCTCACAAGTGGGGAAGTCAAAGGAGAGGGCTTTTTTAGATAATTGGTAACGTATCTTTGTTGTTCCAACGGTCGATTTTCCATTCAATCTGAAAACGAAAGGGCCAACGGCTACTTTTTTTAAAAAAATATTTGATGGGCCTTCCATGCACACACCCAATTCAGCCCTAGTTTTTAAATTTTGGGTTCTACTTACTATGTGGGTCTCTTCTTCATCGTTGAAACAAAAGCTAAAGATGGCAATATTTTAAAATTAGGGTTTGCTCCATTTATTTATATTGTCCTATAAAGGTGTAATAATGCACTTTTTTTTAAAAAAAAAATGTTTTGTAGATAAGTATCTTGTGAGTTAATTATTAATTATTTACTCGTTTTCCATTTAGTCACGGTACTTCGAGTATTATGTTTTGTGAGATCTCACGTCATGAGGAGAACAAAAGCTCCCTTTATAAGGGTGTGAAAACATCTCCCTTAAATAGAAGCTAAGCTCAAATAAGACAATATCTGCTAGATGTGAACTTGGGGAAGCTCGAAAAGGAAACTCCGGACAACATAGGGTGGGTTTGATTTATCCACGACGTTCAAATTTAGGTTTTTAGGTTATGTTAAATTAATATGTTTATTTGATAAATTTTGGCTAAATTCACACGATGTAATATAGAACATACCCTATAGAAATCATCTATATGTTAACTTGGTTTGTTTTCTAGACCTCATTTGGTAAGCCAGAAGCATACAATTTAGCTGTAAGTAACATCTCCAAGAAAAGAACAATTCTATGAATCAAAAAGACAAATACACAGAGAACATGTTGTAGTGAGTGCAGAGGTTAGAGAAACACACTGTTGTACAAAGGTTGAAGATGATGTCTATCATTGAAACACAGTGGAGGATCGAGACGGTATTAACGATGGCCTCCTCCTGCAAGTTTTGAGCCTTGTATCTTGTGTACAGAAGGTTGAAGATGATGTCATCATTGGAACTCGGTCGAGGACGATCGAGATGGTATTAAAGATGGCCTCCTGAAATTTTTCAGTCCTCTCAATTTGAGAGGACTCCACACAATTGGTTTTCTTTGTAATGCAATAACTTTGCCATTTCTTGAACCACCACCACCACCTTGTTGTGTTGGAGGGCTCCCCATGAACTTGCTACTGCTCCTCATGGCAGCAATAGGTGTTGCTGCCTCTACTGCTGTTTGGAATTCCGGTAATGGAGAGAACAACTTTGAGTATCTTGCTTTCCTTGTTGCAAATAATTGTGGCCCCAATGCAGCACTTCCATTTCTTAATTTTGAGGCAGAGGTCTGGAGTGGGGTTGCCATGTGAGAGTGCAACTCGGGACGAGGACGAAGTGTAGCAATTGAGACCCGTCTTTTCGGTTGAAAAACCTGTGTCATAGTCGTTGTCGTTGTCGTTGTCATCATTGGAGTTGACCTAACAGCAAGCGAATTTCGTCTTGGTATAAGAAGGCTTCTTGTGTTTGCTGCTGCTGCTGTTGTCATCATTTTGGGGACATTTTCTTTGCCTTCTGTTGGATGAGCAGTGTTTATGAATGAAGAGACACGCCGTTTTTTGGATGGCAAGGGAGACGACGTTGGCGGTATGAAATTGGTTATCTTTCTTAGGGGAAGCCTTAGCTTTGAAGGACCTAATGGTGGTTTCTTTTCTGTAATGGTTTTAGGAGCTGCCAACTTTGGAAGAGAGAGCATTGCTGAGGGCTGAGAGGCACCAACGACAGTAGCAAGAGCTCTACTTTCTTGTTTTAGTCTGGCTTTCCTCTCATCTGCGAGGTGGCTCTCGAGATCGCGAACCTGTTGTTAGTACACAAACAATAAGCAAATTGTGCAATGATGTAAAAAGACCAGCAAAAATAAAGAACTTCAATTGTTTTAGGACTAGAGGTTATAGCTTATTGTTAAAAATCACGACTCTCTACGACGGTAAGATATTGTCCACTTTGAGCATAAGCTCTCGTGGCTTTGCTTTGGGCTTCCCCAAAAGACCCCATACCAATACCTATGACCATTCCCTAAATTAGCTAATGTGAGGTTCCCTCCCAACAATCCTCCCTTCGAACAAAGTACACTATGGAGCCTCCCGTGAGGCCTATGGAGCCCTCAAACATCCTCCCCTTAATTGAGACTCGACTCCTTCTCTAGAATCCTTGAACAAAGTACACTTTTTGTTCAACACTTGAGTCACTTTTGACTACTTTTTCGAGGCTCACAACTTCTTTGTTCGACATTTGAGGATTCTATCGACTTGGCTAAGTTAAGGGCATGGCTCTGATACCATGTTAGAATCACAGCTCTCCATAATAGTATGCTATTGTCCACTTTGAGTATAAGCTCTCGTGGCTTTATTTTGGGCTTCCCCAAAATGCCTCACACCAATGGAGATGTATTCCTTACTAATTCATGATCATTCCCTAAATTAACTAAAGTAGAACTCCCTCCCGAACGCTTATCCCAAGAACTTGGTTAGAAACTTTATATTAATTACCTTCTCTTGAAGAGTCCTGCAAATATGTTCCCTAGCCGTGAGTCTTAATTGCAAAGATTGCACACTGTCTTGTAACTTCTTCATTTCCTTCTCATCATGCTTGGACTTTTCTGCCTGTATGTTTAACAAAAAAAGAATTATAAACAAGGTCAAAGCACCAAAAGAAGAATCTTCAAGAAGTACAATCCGAACTTTCTGGTGTTCATATTCATATACCATTTGCTTGAACTTGAACAGGTCTGTGAGATCGGTCTGTTTGCGAGCTGGGGCATTCTCGATCCCCCTAACACGGCTTGCAAAATTCAGCGAGCAGAGTGTCTCTCCAACATCGGCTGCACTTGGACTAATCTGTACAAACATCAGGGTTTTGCAATCTCCTCCTACATGTAGAAGAGTTTCAATTAGTGTCTATGAAGCTTCACAGTAAAGATTAAGGAGCAAAGTATTAAGGCAATAAATCCCCCACCTAGGGAGCTTTGCAGCAAATGAGTGAGTTTTGAGTTTCTGTTACAAGAAAAAAAAAATCAAAACTCAATCAGATATAACAAGAAAATTTCCAGAGAAAACAGGAGAAGTTGGATGGAGAAATGCCTGTAAGGAATGTGAGCTGTTTTAGAAGCCAGGGCAGATATAACATCACCGAGAGCCGAAAGTGATTTATTGATGAACTGAGATTCCTTTAATCTTTCACCATCAACATCAATCCTCCCCACACGCTCGCTACCAGCCAAGTCCACTAACCAAAGATGACTCTTTGTCCTCTGTCCATTAATAAGATTCTCTCCCTTGACAGTGACTCGCAACAAGCTGCATACAAATGGTGATAGTAGAGGATATCTTAACATGTTCTTCAAGATGATTCAGCATACGGTGATCAGACAAGAACTTTACCAGTGGGAGCGGCTGCTGAGCTCATTAGCACTGGTGGACCCAACAGATCTTGCCCGATTTCCAGATTTAAGTATTTCCCACACTTCTTCAGTTCCATACACTTGAGCTTCAATCAATCCAGGGACTTCCTGTGTTCCTTCTGCTGCTTGCTTGATCTCCAACCTTAAAACAAACTTCACATTAACAATCTCTCCCAATATTTTTAACATTACTAATCATTCAAATGTTTCAAGTCGGGGGGAGGACATGTTGCAATGAACTGATAACAAATATCTTAGAACACTAATGCAAGAAATTGTTTCATATGATTATTGAATTTTTTGAACCAAAAGCATTCTGCTCTGTAGTGTTACCAAAATCACAATCACGAAATATGCCATGTAATATAGACATGTGTAACCATCCACGAAAAGTTACGGGAAAAAAAGAAACTCACTTCTTCAGATTTGGGTTGGAGTTGTCTGCCAAGAGATCCCTGATTTTCTCATTGTAAACCTCCAACATGCTGACATACAATTCATATTTCATAACACCATCTCTCTCTTCTGAAATCTTAAACAGCTCCTTTAGAGTTCGGTAGTTGACTCCTCTGTTTTCCGGCGTTCCCTCCATAGTAAATGTCTTCCCTGTTCCAGTTTGTCCGTAAGCAAATATGCAGACATTGTAGCCATCCATCACTGAAGCTACGACAGGTTTAGCTTGACTGAAGACAGCTCCTGCACATTTGAAAAACCATCATCAATACATGGATTAAGAATTCACAGTAACTTACAGCACTAATTCTCACAATTACCTTGGCCGTCCTCAATCTTGAACACATGATCAAACTTAAACTGTTTTTTAGAAGAATCAGAAGAAAGAACTTGAATCTCGTTTTCCTGAGACGAATCAAATTCAATTACAGAGGTAGATCCACTTTCCAATTCGCTTTCATTTAATGGTCTACATCGGCAGAAAACTCTAATATTCCCTTTCAATTCAATCACTTCATTGTAAAGTCTCTTTCGCTCAGAGGACTCTTCAAGGTATTTCTTCTTCAAAAGTTCATGTTCTGTACCTAAAAAACAAAAAACAGCCCAGGATTCATTGCTAAGGAGTGATTATTAAAAAACGGCAATGATGGGAAACGGTTGGCCTGTAGAAGAAAGCTACCTAGAAGGTGAAGAGTTTTCACAACTTCAGGGCCTGGAAAAGCATCAGAGTCCAGCTTGAATCGTTCAGTTAGGAGCATATGCTGATTCTTCAAATTCTGAAACCATAAATCAACAAAGTAAGAATTGCCAATTTTGCAACTGGAGAAAAGAATAAACTAGAAATTTACCTTGTAAACTATACTCACAATATAGAGCATAAATTTTTTTTTATTAAAATGTAATTATTGGATACAAAGAATTTTTCAGCAGCCATTAGAAAAACAAGACCTCAAGTATTTCTCATTACCTTAATTTTGTTGCTCAAGTCAATTACTTTTTGCAGGATTGGAAGAGTATGCGCTCCCTCTGGTGATGCTAATTCGGCTTCACTGGATACTTCGTTCCCCATCTTATCATCACACTCAAAAGATTCTCCCAAAGCCATATCTGGACCGCTCAGAAATTTAGTGAAACAAGTTGACGGAAAAGATAATCATAAACGTTTGAACTGATCATGAAGAAAGGCAGTCCATGAAATTCTCAGTGGCCAAACTGAAACCAAGGAAAAATTGAACAATGAATTGGTCGTTTTCACACCACGACAGAAAACCCTAGGTCTCCAACTGAATGTAAATATATCAAATTGATTGCTTTTTCGAAATTACAACCATAAAAAGAACGAAAACAGAACCATATCTTCCTGGTCGGAATAGATCCATCAAAACAAACATTCTTTACACATCGAGAACCAGAAAGAATCGTTAAGAAAATGAAAGAATTAGCGAACCTGAACCGGCAATTAAAGGCAGAGACCTCGAATCATGACTAGGAACAACCGGAGTGCATAATTCTGAGACAACTTCCATTGCAACTGAAATTGAAACAACACTTCCCAATCATTAAATCAACCAAATCAACAACAAACCATCTCGATCCACTCCTTTCCCCCACAAGAGCCCACCCCAGAAAGCGAGAAAGAGAGTACCTTCCATGGCTTCAAAAAGAGAGAACGAGGACGTGAATTTCGAGAGAAGCGCAAGAATTTGATGGAGAAGAAGAAGAAGAAGAAGAAGAAGAAGAAGAAGTGACAGAGCACTGAGTGTAGAGAGAGAGAGAGAGAGAGAGAAATGGTAACGTAGGGTTTGAGATTGAATTCGAAGATTTGAAATGGCGAGCGGGCTATTGACGCTCTTTCAAACGGCTATAAATTATATCAAAATTACGTTTTTGGCCCTCCGTTTTCTCGAATCTCGAATCTCGCCCAATGGATCTCCGACCTCTTTCATTTTTTATTTTTTATAATTTTTTATTCTAGAAGTTATTAATAATATATATATATATATATATATATATATATTAAATAGAAATATTATAAAAAATTTATGATATTTCGATTATAGGTATATCTCTACTTACCAGTAAATAAATATTTTTTAAAGATTGACTATTGAATTTTTATTTAAATTATATTTTGGTTTAGTGTTCATGAAATATTATTAAATTTATATGATATTTTATATTTTAATAGATATTACATCAAAAATGAAAATTATTCTTTAAAAAAAATTTAAAATAGATATATTTTAATATTTATATATACAATGAGGAAAGAACCTAATTCCAATTAATTTTGTGCTTTAAAACAATTTTAATTGAGCTGTTTAATTGAGCGAGAACTGTAAAGAAGTTGGGGAAGCAAGGGCCGAGAAGAATTTCTTGTCTGGACTTTTTTAGACCCAACTCAGTTATTCAAAGAGCAATTCTTATTAAATAATGAACCAAAAATAATTTAGCCGTAAAACATTTGAGTTGTATTATTTCGGAAGCCGTTTATTCAAATTTTAATCTTTAATAGAAATAATAATGTGTAAATCTTTATTATTTATTTTAAATATTGAATTAAGATTTTAATATATAGTTTAAAAAAATAAAAAGTTATTGTTTTATTATTTATTTATTTTTTTGTTGAGAATTTAACCCATACAAAATGATGACTAAATTTGAGGATAAGCACTTAGCAGCGCCACAAAAAATCCACAACTTCTGAGGAAATTCATTCTATGGCTGACAGATTGGAGGAGAAATAGTGATCTGTTCATGGCTTCCTCATTCCCAAATCCTTCCTTCGGCCATTGCTCCTTCGTAGCACCATCCAATCCATCCTCATCTACGCACTTCCCCTTATCTTTTCCGCGCCCTTCTTCCCTCGCTGCCTTCCCTCCAATTTCATCCACCAAAAATGGGTCCGTTTCGAAAATTCGTGCCAAGTTCGAGAAATTTCAAGGCGAGATTCCCCAGGATGATACACAAGAACCCAATCCGTCAATGTCGTTGCAACAACAAGAACAACAGCCTTCTGTGAGTCAAGAGGTTGAAGAAGATGACAGGTTTTCAATTTCTCTTCCTCCTCAATGTTTGTTTACTGAATTTTAAAATTGTTTGAACCCTAGAAGTTAATCGTGGAAAGATGGAAAGATTCTCATGGTGGCTCTTATTTGATTGATTAATTAGTTGCATATAACGAAGAGCTAGGAGGTATGGATTTTTCAAGCTAATGGAGGATTTGTGACCCATAGGTCTCTCAAAATGGTCTTAAATTATGGTTGAATGATGAAGAATTAAGTTCTGTAAACCCCAAGGGCTGGCCATGGTGGATTTCTTGGTCTAGAAAGTTCATTTATCCCCTAGGAGTGATCCTGAAGTAGCGGCTTGAGATGTTTTGGAGGGTAAGGTGATGCTGGTTGTAAGATATCCTCTAGAGTCCAAAGAGGGAATATGAAACACGGTATTGTCCGCTTTGGACTGTTACTTATCGTTGTCAACCTCACGGTTTTAAAACACATCTACTAGGGAGAGGTTTCCACACCCTTATAAGAAATGCTTCATTCACCTCTCCAGTCAATGTGGGGTCTCACAATTCACCGCCCTTGAGGGCCGACGTCCTCACTGGCACACCGCCTAGTGTCTAGCTCTGATACTATTTGTTACAGCCCAAGGCCACCACTAACAGATATTGTCCGTTTTGGCCCGTTATGTATCACCGTCAGCCTCACGGTTTTAAAACGTGTCTACTATGGAGAGGTTTTCACACCCTTATAAGGAATGTTATGTTCACCTCTCCAACCGACGTCTCCAACTAACGTGGGATCTTAAAGAATCGGACCATGAGCATAAGGCAAGAAGTTGATTCTCTGTAAGCAAAGAAATGCTTTAACTAATTGTTTTTACTGTTTGATCGTCTATATGACTATTACCAACCACCATAGGTTGACCTAGTAGTCAATAAAGACCATGTAAATAATAAAGAAGTGGGAGAGAACAAGTTCAAGCCAGGTAGCCACCTACGAACATCTCATCTATTCTTTTGCAAATAGACTAGACACGTTCAAATTAGCTAGGGATCGCTCAGCTTGACTGGAGATATTGTTGAGGATTATTGGAAGGAGTAGTCCCACGTTATTTAATTAAGAGGAAGATCATGGGTTTATAAGTAACGAACACTATCTGTTCACTAGAAGTAAACGTTCTCAATTGATACGAAATGAAAGGAGGAACAGTATTGGCCATCTTTTTGTTTTGTTTTATAAAGATTTTGTGAAATTGAAATATCCATTCTCATTTGGTTGGTGAAGCAGGGCTTTCTCAATGTTTTTACTCTCACTTTCAGCTGCTTGCCTTCAGACTTGGAGGGAGCAGTCAGGCAATCTGGTGAAGCTGCTGGTTTGTTTGTGTCTTCAGGAGGACTAAGAGCAATAGTATAATACTCTTTATGCTAATCTTTGCCAAATCTTATGCCACTTCTCTATAAATATGCACAAATCATGATAGAACTTGAAAACGCTTGATATTTCCATTGCTGTAAATTTAGTTTCTTCCTGTATAATTTGCCATGCTTAGTTTCACAATTTGCAAGGGCTCCATTGCTACTAATCTCTGAAAAGACCTACTCGTTCGAATGCCAGTTTTGAGACATTTCACCGATTCATTTCTATATCTCCCTCCTCTCTTTACTCTCAACTGTAACGGCCCAAGCTACCGCTAGCCGATATTGTCCTCTTTAGCTTTCCATTTTGGACTTTCCCTTGAGGTTTTTAAAACGTGTCTATTAGGGAGATGTTTTCACACCCTTATAAATAATGTTTCGTTCTCCTCCCCAACCAATGTAGGATCTCACAATTCATACCTTTTCTTTTCAGGTTGAGCTTCTTATCCCCCAGCTACAGTTTCTGGACGATGAAGGTGCTCAAGCTGAACTCTGGGAACTGTCCAGAGTTTTCTTGGAGTCAGTCATTGAGGAAACAAAATGTGAGGTAAGTAGAATATGGAGTTACCACTTCAAGGCCCTGTTTATCAATCAAGAATTGAATTTGGAGAACACTCGGAATATATTATACCATGGAATGTGTTACAAAGAAAACAGTAGAATTTCATAGTTCTTAGGATGTTTATTCACTAGCTTTGTAATATACATATCTAAGTAATGCAAATTTAATTGCTAGAAAGTTAAAGCTGTGTTTCCAGATGCTGGGGCCGCTGCACTTCTTGAATATCGATGGAAAGATGCTTCCTTCAAAATTTCCAGGTAAGTTCCATGTAACATACAATTTGTGTACTCCAAAAGGTTGAGCTAAAGTCGATTTTTGCAATCTGAATCTGTATGTTCTCTTCGTATGGTTGTCGTTCTCAGCTTAAGCGACCGAAAACCTGTAGATACTGCAGATGAGATAGTTGTCATGGTTGTTCCTGATTACCAAATGTTGGAAAATGTGGAGAAAATAGCGGCTGCCCTCTCGGACGATCCGGTAAAAATCTGAACCATTCCATTTGCTGTTGAAGTACATTTTCGAAGTACTGCCTAATGGGGTATATATATGGTTCAGTTTACTATAATATAGATTTACCAGATATAATCATCTATTATATATAACTATCTACCATATATATCTTTGTGACCATTTTTCATATATAACAATTGAATAAGCTATAAATAAGCAGCATGCTCTATAACCCAACATCCACCTCTTTGTTTTTCTACATTGATGGTAGCCAAGGCCTCTTATCATGTGGAATCCCCGTCTCATCAGCGAAGATGTAGGGGTCGGATTTAACGTTCGAAAATTGAGAAGATACTTTTTAAGGTAAATTTCAAAACTCTTAGTAGACATCAGCATTATGATAGAGTTACTCACAAAAGATGATCATCATAGCTCAATAAAGTGTTCTAATGTGAAGTAAATGTCTAACCTCATACATAAAAGTTGCTAAGGAGAAAAGAGGTCTCATATACAAGAGGCTCTAAACTTAGGATTTGTCCAACTCAACCTCTACTTTGTTCTTTTTTGTGCAGCACATTTACAACAGTCTACTCCATGAGGCCTTTGCCATCTGGTGCTGTATTTAGAGCTTATCCTGGGTAAGGAGATTTTAACATCTTATGAGATTCTTTAGATCTATTCACCGTGCTGAAAATGCAGAAAAACTCGGTCCAGTCTGTTAGAATCACACAATAACGCACACCCTCAATCTAGATGAACACAAAAAATAAGAGAGAGAAAATGCTAAGAGAAAATGACTTCAAGTATATACAATAAAAGAGAATACAAAGAATACAGAAAGCACATTTTCAAATCATTGTCTAGAGATATATATATAGTTCAGTTTATTATATATAGTTTTACCAGATGTAACCATCTACCGTATATAGATTTACCAACTATATATAAAACTATTTACCATATCTAGTTTTACGGTATAACAATTGGGTAAGCTATAAATAAGCAGTAGACTCTATAACCCAACACGGTCGTATAGGGAACAACCCAGATTGTGCAGATTACAGTTTAGTTGTATGACCTGAACTAACTTAAGAAAGTAGTAAAAAACTATGATATATCTTACATGAAAGTAACGGAACCATTAATGTGAAATAATAATCAAACTCAAGGCCGTGGTCACTCATCTTACAGCAAATATCCATGGTTGAACTTTCTCCAACCACTTTCTTCTTCTTGTTCTTCCTTGTTTGGGGGGGTTTCTTTTTTGAAGAAGTGATTGACATCTTTGCAATTGTTAACCAGGTTGTGGAAAGTGTTCTTTGATGATAAAGATAGGCCAGGCAGATATTTGCTTGCCAAAGAATTAATAAGTCGTCCGGATGCTGGAGACCTCGAGGTCAGTTACCTAAGAAAATAACATATGAGAAATTATCATGATACTATTAATGTAACAACCCAAGTCCAATGCTAGCATATATTGTTCGCTTTGGCCCGTTACGTATCACTGTCAGCTTTGCGGTTCTAAAACGCGTCTAAGAGAGAGAGAGATTTCCACATACTTATAAAAAATGCTTCGTTCCCCTCTCCAACCGATGTAAGATCTGGCAATATTTGTAACAGCCCAAGCCTACCGCTAACTGATATTGTCCTCTTTGGGCTTCCCTTCCGAGCTTCCTCTCAAGGTAAAAACGTGTTTGCTAGAGAGAGGTTTCCACACTTATAAGGAATGCTTTGTTATAAGTGGGAACCTCTCCCTAACTTATAAGTGTGTGGAAACCTCTCCCTGACATCCGCGTTTTAAAACTGTGAGGCTGACGGCAATACGTAATAGGCCAAAACAGACAGTATCTACTAGCAGTGGATTTAGATTGTTACAATTAATGTGTCTTTTTACTTGCCTCGCAATGTATGATCATAAATTAATATCTAGATTATGGAGCTTTCACAATTTCAACTCTATAATGGTTCTTAAATCCAGAAGAGATTAATTGAAGCAATAATGTAAGCCTAAGTATCGTATGCAGATAATATTTGGAAATGTAGCAGAGTCAAACGACCCGTCATTTTTCGACAAAGCAGCTGGAGTTCTCTCTTCCGTAACCCGATTCATGAAAGCAATTTCAAGATAATCGAAGCGAGTTTCCTTGATATTATTACAACTCATGGGTCCTTGTAAGTTATGAACTCCTAATGCATTCTATTCTGTTCCAGAAAGCAAAGAAGAGTCAGTTTTCTTGATAAATATGTTCTTAGCAGTCTCTTAGTTAACTATAGATAATCAAGCTACAAGCATAGGCTACCAGTTCACTGCTACAGCTATCTCATCAAATTTTCCTTATGGTAAAGCCAAGATACATTGATAAGTGAATCTTCTGCAGACAAGAATCACATATCCAGAATCAACCTTGAAGAGAAATACCTTAAAAGAAATGGCATGACAGTAATCTCAACTTTGTATTATATGCTATCAGTGAATAACTAGGGGTAAATTTTAGCTGAACTTGTGGAAATTACCTTTTTCACCTATAATGTAGCATTTCATGTTATCTTTGATGCTCAAGAACTGTATACAATGGTTATTAAACTTATGGTACTCTAAGAATGGCGAAAAATGATTAATAGTTTTCTTTAAAAGATGAAGAAAACGTGACCCATATCAAGTTTTAACATCTCTCGTTATGAAATTGCAAAGGTGTTAACATAATGTCTACAACTTATGGGGCATGAGTCGGTGAACTACAATATGAACATGTCAATCCTCGCTTCGTCGTAATTACAAGAAATAAATCGAGAAATCATCATTAAAATGATAAACATGTCATAAACCTTTTGGTGATGCACCCAAATTTGAAATTATAATTGATTTATTACTCTAACTAACCTTGAGTAAGTGGCCCTGTCTGGCCTGGTGGAAGAAGCAAAAGTGAACATGGGGAGCCTATCTACGCAATAATATGGGTAGCCTTCACAAGTGGGAAGGACGTCATTATAATAACAGCTCATGTCTAGTATTCATACCAGAGAGGGGAATAAGTTTGGATCGTTAACACGACCGTTATCGTTATCGATCGGTTCCTTCTTGTCATCAGGATCCAAGTAGAAGAGGATGAATTTCTTATCTGGTACATATCCTTCATCTACCATGTGTACAAACAGATCCATCAAAACTCCATAAATGATATCAGCTTGTGGATGCCTTTTGTCTCCAACAGTAAAACTATGGACTTTCTTGTCAATCTCTATCCAACTGATGCCAGTTTCTTTGGCCATTCCCGTCTCCTTCATCTTCCTGATTGTCCTTGCTCTTTCCTTCCAATTCCCCTCAGAAGAATATATGTTGGCTAACAGAACATAAGGGACTGAGCTATTCGGTGTTTCCGAAAACAGATGTTCGGCTGCATATTTCCCCATTTCAGAATCACCGTAGAGGCTGCAGGCGCCGAGCAATGCCTGCCACACGAGTAATCCTGGCTGTTCAGGCAGTTTCTCAATGAAGGTTCTAGCTTCAGACAGCAGTCCTGCTCTACCCAACATGTCGACAACACAAGCATAGTGTTCGCTCCTAGGATTCATCCTGTGATCTTTTGTCATTGATTCAAGGAACTCCATACCTTTATTTACTAACCCAACATGACTACAAGCATGGAGTAATGATAGAAACGTGATGTCTGTTGGCTTTGCACCTTCCAGTTTCATATTCTCATAAAGATGTAGAGCTTTCAAGCCGTCTCCATGTCGAGCAAACGCTGCAATCATGGAGTTCCATGTGACAGAGTTCCTATTTTGCATCCTATCAAAGACCTTCACTGATTCATCCAGTGCTCCACACTTGGAGTACATGTTTATAAGTCCATTGCTCACAAAAGGATTGCAACTAAAGTTCTTTTTGACAATAAACGAATGAACTTGTTGACCCAGCCTCAAAGATGTATCAGCACCAAACACTCCAAGAACAGCTGAAACAACATTTTCGTCAATCTCAATCCCCATTTTCAACATTTTCAGAAAGATTTGGATGGCTTCTTCCTCACATCCATTCTGTGTGAACCCTGCAAGGATAACAGTCAACGAAACCATATCGAGTTCCTCAGCCGACTCAAAAATCTTCCAAGCATCTCCAATGCTTCCACATTTTGAGTACATATCCATCAGAGCACTCCCAATGCACAAATCTGACTGAATTCCCAACTTCAAAATAAGACCATGAATTTGACATCCTTCCTCTAATGCCTCCAAGCCAGAACAAGCGGTGAGTAAGCTCAAATAAGTTAAAGAATTTGGCTCCACAGAGCCACAACTCAGCATTTCCCTAAACAGCTCCAGGCTGTGCTCATGATACCCATTTTGAGCCAAACCAGAGATCACAGCCGTCCAAGTAATCACATTTCTCTCCTCCATCTCATAAAAAACTTGCTTCCCAAAACCAACACATCCACATTTAAAATACGAACTAATCAGAGCATTTCCCACAGTAATTTCTTGTTTATATCCACTCAAAAACGTCAAACCGTGCATCATTTTAATGATGCAACACATCTCCAAGCCATCACAAGCAGATAAAATCGTCGTCAAAGTAGCTTTATCAAATTTACAATCACCAACTAAACACATAGCCTTAAAATAGCTAAAACCAGCACAGAACTCCCCATTTCTCATAAACCCACCAATCAATGCGTTCCACGAAACAGTATCTCTCGTGGGCATTTCATCAAACACCTTGACAGCATCCGGCAATTTACCACACCTCTCGTACATGGAGATGAGAGAGTTCATTATGACGACCCCATTTTCATGGTTGGAGAGCTCGAAGCTCTTGATGATGGAGGCATGGAGGGAAGAGCCCAAATAGAGGTGGCCGTCTCTTCCACAAACGGACAGAAGGAAGCTTGGGTCTACATGGTTGAGGACGAATGTTGAGGAGGTTTCTGCAAATGGGTTTTGATGGAATTGGTTTCTGAATGGGGAGATTCGAGAAGTGGCCCAAGAGGGAAGCTTGGAGCTCAGTTTTTGAAATACCCATTTGAGTTTCATCCATGAAAATGGGACTCGGAGACGGTCGCCGTCGAATTGGCTCCAGTCGGATGAAGAGGGATTGATGTACCCTTGCCGTAGGTTTCTCTTTCCTTTTTTATTTTTTTTTATTTCACCTAACATTGAAATTTAAACATTTAAAACATGTGACATCCATGAGTGGAGGAGGAGTGAAATTTGAAACTTGTGATCTGGATGAGTGAGAGTAAAATTTAGAATAAGTGACATTTTGGTCGGTTGAGTAAAATTTAGAACATGTGACCTCTTGATCAAGCGAGTGAAATTTAGAACATGAGACATCTTGGTCGGTTGAGTGAAATTTGGAACATGTGATCTTTTGATTGAGCAAGTGAAGTTTAGAACATGTGACCTCTTGATTGAGCGAGTGAAATTTGGAAAATGTGACCTCTTGATTGAACGAATGAAATTTGGAACACGTGACATCTTGGTCAAGTGAGTAAAATTTGAAACTTGATAAGTGTCTTTAGTAGTAAATTCCTAAGTTGAGTTCAAACCTATCATCATAATGTAGAGTGTAATAGGGGATATTATGCGTAAGGTGTATATACCGATAGTGTGAGTGTATGCTAGTCGAAGATCAGATTTAAGGGTAAGTATACGAGATTAGGTTCAAGGTTTGGTATACGAGCTTAGGTTCAAGGGTAGGTATACCAGCTTGCATGGGTCCATGTACGCGTACATGAGCCGTGTAGAAAAATTCTATACTTCCAATTCTGTTCAAACCGGAAGCTAAGACCATTGTCATGAAATGATGTTTTATGACATGTCCTAAACACAATGGTCTACAATTGCATTTCTTGACCTCAGGCACATGCTACTATTACTTTTCAGGTAAATAAAAAAAAACCTATATATGGATGATGACATCACAGTGACAGCAGTGAAATTGAAGTTAGGATGGATGCATTTCGTTTTGTTTATAGCCCTTAGATTAGATCAATACATTATTTTATTCTCTTCTTTGTTTTCCGCATTATTGTTTAATGAATTTATTATGAACATATAAGTCGATGACACGTTCTAAAATGCTTTGAAAGGTTTTTACATAGAACGGACGAAAAAAAAAAAAAAAATATATATATATATATATATATATATATATATTTATTTATTTCTAGTAGCACAGGTGGATTGTAGCCTTTAAAAAACTACCCTAACATTTAAAATTTCTTCATTTAAATTCATAGTTGGTAGATAATAATAGGAATAATAATAATAATAATAATAATAAGTGGTTGAATCGGGTCGGGTCGGGTATTGAAACGGGTACAGGTCCATTAAGTTGCCCGGCTGTGTGGGTATAAAAGGGTGTTTTTAGTTCTTACCTTCTTAAACTTCATGAGTTTTCTGAAAAAGGAAAGAGAGAGTAAAAAAATGTTGTCCGAAGAGAAGAAGAAGATCAAAGGCGAAGTGGTTTTGATGAAAAGCAATGTTTTGGACTTCAACGATTTTCATGCTTCGTTTCTCGATCGTCTTCACGAATTTCTTGGCCAACGAGTTTCTCTCCAACTTGTTAGTGCTGTTCATGGCGATCACCGTAAGTTTTCTCTCTCTTCTTTCATCATTATAATCTCTCCCTTTCTCTCTCTTGGTCTTCGTTCTCGAGAGATTCTTCAAGGGGAGGCCAAACAATGTTACTGACGGTTTTTATACTGTCTAGGAATTTTGATTTAATTGCATGTCCCAAGAATCAGGGTTAGGACGACAAATCACAATTTTTCAAAACAAGTCCTATTACAATATTTTAGTCTCTTAATTTATCTCGTAAATTCAATTATAGGTCAAATGTTAGCTACGTTACGTGATGGTCTGCTCGAATAATTTTTCCGTCTTTTTGTTTAAGTTTTTACGACCTTTTTAGCAAGATTCTCTAAGAATATATTAGTGGGTATGAAAACGTAGCTTGAGATTGAATTTTAATGAAAAAAAAAAAAAAAAAAGCTAATACTTCAATTATAAGTTTTGCTTTTTATCTTAAAAGCATACTTTTGCTTTATAATTATTTTCGTTAATTTTCTCAAAAATTTCTTTTTACTTAAAAATAATTTTTTTATATAGCTTAAATATTATTTTATTAAATATATATTATATAAAACCACATTTTAATTATTATTGCTAATTTTTTAACAAATTATATTATGAAAATTTAGAGATCTAAAAAAGTTTAAATAATAATAATAATAATAGACATTATTTCTAAATACTATTATTTATTTATTTCTTAAAATAACTTTATGCATAAATAATTTAAAATAAAAAATAAACCAATAATTTTTTTTCTCCTTAAAAGGGAAAAAAAATAGTCAACATTTTATTTACAGAAAATAAGGTTTAATTTGGTTGAATTATTATCATTTTTTAAAAAATTATTCTTATAATTGATTTTTTTTTTTTTTTTTTTTTTTTTTTGAA